GAGATCTAAGTTGGATGAGAGATCTAAGTTGATAATTAAACTGAGGAACTACAGTAGCATACAGACAGTATTTATATCTACGGAACGGCACATCGGTGCGGAGCGCCAGACTAACTACTAGGAGCTATATGTGTAGTTATGTGTAGTATCTGCAGGGTAAAGTAAAAGACAATAAGGAGAGACTAGAACGAAAGGGTATGTGTAACGAGAAAGAACAATAAGGAAGAGAATACAATAAACACAGATCTTCGGAGTACCGAGCGGCGGAATGGAGGCCCGAGGCATGGGCTTGACAGGTGGTCGCCTCACCAGGTGAGGGTCCTCGGCAATTACGCGCTGCCGCCATCCGCCTCCTTTTCACTGCCACCTCTTCCTCCACTTTCCTGGCGCTCGCGGCCCAAGCGGCAACCTCCTGTCTCTCCTGCTCTTTTTCTGCAGCCCGCCTTCTTCCTAGCCACCTCTTTGGCCTTCCTCTTCTCTTTCAATTTCCGCAACCTCTCCCGGTTGCGCTCCTTCTCCTTCTCCAGCTCCCACTCCTCGTCAGAAGCGCTCAGCGTAATCGGGCGAGTCGGGTCCAAAGGTTGAGGTTCAGTTCCACCTGTAATAGGAATGGAACCAACCATGTTGGTGGTTTTGGTGGTAGTACGGCTAGTAGTCATTAAAGGACCTAGAAGATTTTGAAGATGGAGGTCCAAGGCAAAAACCCGCCAAGTTTTATACAAGAAAAAATGCACACGGACCAGAAAATCTCTTCGAATTGTACTCGGCTTATGGGGAACATGACCAGAAAATTTTTTGTATGACTAATATGATAAATCCCAATGCTAGCGGCTTTCAAGGGCTCAAGCCTAAGAGGGGGATACTGTCAAGTCCATGCGTTGGTACTCCGAGAACCCATTCATTTTAGTCTCTCCTTATTGTCGTATTCCTTACCCTGCAGGTACTATATGTATAGCTCCTAGTAGCTAGTCTAGTGCTCCACCCCGATCCGCCAATTAGTCAATATAAATACTGCCTGTACTGTACTGTAGTTCCTCAGTTTAATTATCAACCTAGATTACCCTCTTCAACTTGGATCATCTTCATTGACTTGAGATCACCTCTGTTCTCTTGTCTCTCTCTAAGTCTTCAGGCTTGTCACCTTGAAGATCTTCTCACTCTGACCTTAGAACTTATAAGTTCTTTGGTTTGCTCCTTGTCGTTGGCGTTACCGCCGCTCCAACTTGGCTGCTCCTAGCTCTCTACTTTTCTACTCTCGATCTCCGGGGACTAGCGGCATGACGGCAGTGTTGTTAATAACTTCACTACTGTCCCATTCAACCCTTCACCCTTAGACACCTTGTGGCCTCTGGCACAGCTTCACGGTGTACATGATCTTAACACCTGATTGGTCTATTACACTGAATCACAGTGCTTTAGATTAATGCATGATCTCATTCTAGAATGTGTATTTGACAATTCTTGAATTCTAGAAAGTCATTTTGAGTCAATCCTTAGTTCATGGTTACTTGAGTAAGTTCTTCCAAACTCCTGGGGTCTCAATTACAGTCCTCTTGATACAAATCTATGTGTGAAAGTGTCGCAATTCAATGCATAGATGTCTAGCCAAAATTTAGATGTGTCATCGGGTGCAAGGATACATACCAATCCACATCAGGGTACGTTTTTCTCATGGCAGGAGCCCCGGTATCATGGAGTTCAAAGCGGCAGGCAATGGTGGTCCTGGTCTACTACAGAATTGGAATATATATTGGCCTATCTTGCAAGACCCAACAGGCAGTATGGTTGGCTTCATTCCTCTCTAAAGTCGACCTAAAACAGGACAGCACTAGGCGCTATCGAAATGCGGGGGGGAGGGGGGGGGGATAATTTCAGCTTGGTGTGCTTGACAGAGAACACCAAACGACATGCGCTGGTCAAGCACATTGAAATGAGGCACACCACTATATCAGGGATCAGGGAGAAGGTAGCAAGTGGGGAGGTTAGTGTCAAGCGGATACGGTCTGGGAGAGAATGTGGTGGACTTGTTCACCAAGCCCCTCAATGGTACGGTCCACTCCAAACTAGTCTCGATTCTTGGAATCGATTGTATGGAGTAGGGGGGGGGGTGTTGGACCAACTCCGTACATGATATGTATAGCCTGACTCAACCCGAGACCCTGGTTATATGTATACACTGTTGCTTACCATAACCTATACAGTATGTAGCATATCACGCATGACAGAAACTCTTGAGCCCCCCTTAGTTGTTTAAGGAAGCAAGAAAAAACCAAGGAAGCAAGAAAAGAACCAAGGAAGCAAGGAAAAACCAAGGAAGCAAGAAAAAAACCAAGGAAGCAAGAAAAAAACCAAGGAAGCAAGAAAAAAACCAAGGAAGCAAGAAAAAAACCAAGGAAGCAAGAAAAAACCAAGCAAACCAACCAACAAACAAAGCAAGCAAACAAACAAACCAACAAACAAACCAACAAACAAACCAACAAACAAACCAACACACAAACCAACCAACCAACCAACCAACAAACAAATCAATCAATCAAGCCCCTCAAAAAAAGCAAAAAAAGCAAAAAAAGCAAAAAAAGCAAAAAGCAAAAAGCAAAAAGCAAAAAGCAAAAACAAAAAAAAAGACCGTAGACTCCTCTGATATGCATTAAGAGGGAATCGAACCCCCGGCGGGTCGATGGATATCAAGCTTATCTATTGATGGCAACGACCCAGGTTACCACTACCCCATTAATGCATTGGTTGGTTAGTGCTGGGTGGTTAGTGCTGGGTGGGGATCCTGTGTAGAGGTTGAAAAAAAAAAACCCCAACCGAATTGAGTTGAATTATGTACATATGATATAATTGAATATTTGAATATTTGAACGTTTAATCATTTAATCGTTTAATGATAACCACCCCCAACCAACTAAATCCCCACACCCCACACACTATATAGTAAACACCCACCCAGTACCCCTCCAAGGAATAGCCAGGCTTACATCTGGATAACAGCACCCTGGGTGGTATCTCTGACACTCTTTAGGAACCGCGCGAGGTGTGTTCCGCCTGTTCCTTTTAGTGCTTGTGTTTCTGACTCCCTGTGGCCCTCGGCATTGCTCTCTTTGCTATCACTCTGGCTCTCCTTGCCATCGCTCTCGACCTCACTCTGACTCTCCCTGGAGCCATCGCTCTGACTCTCCCTGTTGCTATCGTCGCTCTGGCTCTGGCCCTCGTTAGCTCTGGCCTGCGCTGCAGGACCGATAATATACCTCGCCACGAGCACGATATGCGCATCGCGGAACTTTTTGAGCGCGGTTACGGCGGCGTTGTATGCATTGAGGAGGGATTGGGTCGTGTCGTCTGCTGCTGCTGCCTCCAGAACCCAGGCCCTCAGGGACCTGTTGGTGCTCTGCACGCGGAGATGGGAGAGAAAGTTGCGGTGGTGGCGGGGCATGTATAGTTGCATTCTGGAGAGGAATGTGTCGTCGGGTGAATTGGAATTGGAGTGGTGAACACCCAAAAAAATATCCAACGCATGTATCAAGGAACTCTGACCGGCGGATGGACCTCCCAATTCATTTGGGTATTCTAAACCCGGATCCAACTCGATCCCTTCAAACACCCATCTTTTCTCTTCACTCTCACCTTGAAACCACGGTCGAATTTCATCGTAGAACACCCGCACATCGCATCCCCCAAACATCCGATTCAACTCCCCCTCCATCTCCCCGATAACCCCCGCCAATTCCGTTAAGAACCGGGTGATACGTTTCCGCGCAATAAGGTCCCCGACGAACAGCTCATCGAGGGTATGCTGCATCACCCCTAGCGCTTTCACACCAATCAACTCGATCCGTGCAGAGGTCAGGTAGAAATGCGATTCAGAATCAGTAAAAGTGAAGGAAGTGAGTATGCGAAGGTCGCCGTCGTCGTCGAACGCCCAGTTGTACAAAACATCGTCGGAGTAGGTGAGAACTGGAGGTAACCGCATCTCGCGGGAGACCTGGAGGAGAGGTAACGTGATCGGAGGAGGGATCCGGATTTCCTCGTCGACTCGGAGAGTGTGGATGTAGAAATGCATTATCCACGCCAACACATGATGTGCACGTCGGAGGTGTGGTTCAGACTCCAAGAGCGCAGCGATAGAGAGGATCGGGAGCTAATCCACCACTTTCAGTTTCAGTCTACTACCAAAGGTATCACTCACCTCTCTCACTCGACCCCTCCACCTCTCCTCCCTCTCCCCTCCCCCCAATCGAAACCCCCCATTACACGCGTCCGCCAACACCCCCTCCCACGCCCCATACTCCCCTTCTAGTCTCGCTATCGGCGCATGCGGGGGCATGAACCCCGTCCGTGGATCCACGTCGAAATCATGCGCCGCGAGCGTTGTGGTGTCCACGCGTCCTTCATTGGGTGAGGTGATCCCAGACGGTCGGGGTTGGGAGAGAAAGTGTGAAGGGGGGAGTGGGAAGAGGTTGCTGTCCATCGATTCGTTGTTGCTGGGTGTTATCCAATCCATCGTAGTAGCTAGTGGTCCTTCTGAAACCCCTTATCTTTTTTTTTCATCTCTTATCAGATTCGATCCCGTTCCGAGGTTCCGATTCCGAGGTCCGAAAAAATACTCCGATCCCGATCCGAGGTTCTTTGTAATCTTGATCCCGCGAACGGATCCGGATATATCGATGCCAGTCTATGCCAGTTGATTATGCTGAAGAGTGCTGAAGTCGTTCAGAACACGTTAAATTCTCCGGAATAAGTAGCGAAATACAAGCAAATTTAAACAGGAACAACCCGTATGATTCCTATATATGATAGGCTGGTTAATCTTACTCTTTTGTCCCCTTGCTGTTGAAATTGTCGATAGCCGTATGTATGTATGTACAAGAATCTTCGCTTTCACAAGTCCCACAGCATTCTTACCCTCCTACTTCCGAGTCCCAGCTCTTATTGCCCTCCTAATTCGCCACCCCGGCCCAATCTGCATAACCACATACACCATCGGCGTCATAACCGCACATACCCCTCCCAGAAGAATGAATGTCCACCCAGGACCGTCGAGTGCGTTTGCGATGAGGTCGATGACTGAGACGAGGAGTGCACCGGATGTGCCGCGGAAAAGATTATTCTGTCTCGATAAGATTGGAGTGAGTTATCGACGTGTGAAAACTTGCACACTCACACAAGCAGAAACGGAAGAACTCTGTTCAGGCATCAAGTCGATAACGAACGTCGCATCTGCGTTCATTACGATGATAGCTATGAATCCCACTGTGTAGAAAGAAGATGAACAAGAATTAGCACAGTCAGCCGAAAAGACTCACCAATAAACTGCAATATTAACGGAACACTGATATGTACCTGTCGCTGGATGGACCATCCGTATCCTAGATTCGCACCGACGAAAAAAATCATGAAGAACGGGATGAGTCGGAGGCGAGCCTGTAGTAAGAAAGGGAACAAAGAGGGACGGTTGTGAGGTCCAAGAACAGAGTTCTTCTAAACCACAAACCTTCTCAATCGGAAAATCCTCATCATACCTTCCCGTTTTCTTTTGTTCCTCTCCTTCTCCTCTCTCTATACCCTTCTCTCTTCCCTTTTCCTTCACAAGTTCCTTCTGTATCCTCCCAAACTCCCAATCCAACACCTTCCCACTCGTCAAACTCCCCAGAAACATCCCTCCCCCAATCGCCAGAAAACACACCCCGACTTCTGTCTCGCCTAATTGCGGATACGCCGAAGCGAAGAGGGTTGAGATGGTTGCAGTAACGGCGTAGTAGACTGCGTTGACCGTCCCGTTGAAGAAGAGAATAAGGGTGATGTCGGGGTTGTGGAGGAGAATTCCAAAGGGGTTCTTGAATGGTTTTCTTTTGCGAGAAGGTTGAGGTTGGTTTGATTTGGGTTTGGATGACCCTCCTGCGCGACCTCGACCGACAATTCGGATGAGTGGTTGGTGGAGGATGGATGACGTTGTGGGAAGACTCCCGTTTCCGACTATGGATCTAAGAGTTTCCGGAAGAAATCTATGTGTCATTTGACATGGTTAGTCAAAAAAAAATACCAATGCGTCTCAATAAAAAAAAAACCCACATAATTACAACCAGAAAGGCGACTCCGGAAGAGATACATAGGAACCAGAAAATTGACCTGAGGATTTGGAAATTGAATTTCAAGTTTTCAATCGAGGAATTATGCAACCAAAGTATTGAATACCAAAGCTGAAATATAACTGACCTCCATCCTAGCGTTCCAGCTAACGCACCTCCAATGACCGGTCCAATGGCTGGAGCGAGCTAGTTTTGAGAGGCGTTATAACGAACGGTCAAGAGATACAAGTATCGAACCAAGGAACACTTACCAAAGGCCCACTCTGATACACTCCAAAAAAACCACCTCTCTCATGTGCTTCCGCGATATCCCCGATTACACCTGCGCCTGGGGGTGTATTTGACACCATCTAGAGAAAGTCTACGATAAACTCACCTAGCGCAATCGTGCTAGCCGAACCCGTGGACTGCAAACACCTAAGCAGGAGAAGAAGCCAATACGCCGATGTTGGGATCAGAGCTAGTCCGACGCAGGTGAGCGATAGGATAAGGAGACATGATGCGTAGATAATTCGTCTTCCGACCTACATGATAGAATCAGTTTGAAAAAGCCCCGAAAGGAAATGACATATGGTGATACCATACATTATCAGCCAAAGTCCCGAAAAGCATCGGAGCTGCGAGTGAGAAAAAAAAAAACAATAATCGCAAACAATTGAGGATTTGGTTGGACAAATGACAAAAAAAAAAGAGTGTTTATACGAACAGATTCCTTGAAAGATCATATACATCGTGATCTACGCGCAGGAGAAAAAATGTTAATCAAAGTGTCGGATAGTGTCATATGGGATAACCGGTATTCAAAATACTCAACTGTGAGATTGATGAGCTCCGTGGACTTGTGGAACGCTCCTGCGATGGCAGGTATAGCGGGGACTAGAGGAGTGTAACAAAAGTGATATCAACCACTACAAATTAAATTATTGGAATCCTCCGTACAATAAACATTCGCAGTGAGCGGACTACGCGTTGATAGGTACCGAGAATAAACCAACCATTACTAATTGAGAGATCGAATTCGACTCACCTAAACAACCCAGAGATCGCAATTAACAAAACCAAGAACCACTTTTCGTTTCTCGTGTAGATGCTATAGGGTTCTTGAACTCTCTGGTCATTGGTCTTCTCATCTGTCAATGGCTCTTGAGCTATTTTGTCGGCATGAAGTGACTGCTGGCCTGAATTCGTCGACTCTGACAAATCTTGATTTCGAGGAAGAGGAGCGGCAGTAGCAGTAGGTGAAGACGAGGACGAAGATGGACTCGACGCTGACAAGTCGTTACGGCTTATTGACATCGTTCAATTTGATTCAATGTATCGAAAGTATACTTGGGCCGGCGGTCTCGTATAAGTTCTTCGTCGTGCTGAACGGATAGTATAAATGGGTTGAGTTTTGTGTCCAAATAATGAATTTGAAGATAGAAAGGAAGGAAGGGTGATGCATCGAAAGGAATCTGTGCAGGTCGTGGTTTAAGTATGGAAAAGGACTTCGGAAGTTTACCGTTGATTCAGGATTAGAGATAAGATGGGTGGATAATCTTATCTGACAATGATATCGTTATCTTCGGCGGCGACGAAGTTGAATTAGGTCTTTTTTTTCTCGTCCTCCGATCATCGTCGAACGTGTAAAGTTATATTAGATCAAAAT